ATCTTTTCTTAATCTTATTATAGTTTATACAAATATCAACAAGCTCACAATATCTGTTCATAAAATAATCAATTTATAAACTGTTAATATCTTGTCACTTTAATAAGCTAAAAATATACATCAGCATGCATCGGCTTGATATCTGATAAAATTTAGAAAACATTTGTAATGTTAAAAAACATCTCAGTATCTCTGAAAAAAAACCCACATCTGTTGAACTAAGGGTCAATGTACATATGTCTCTCTGAAACGTCAGTTATTTCATGTCTGTGACATTCCTTATCTTAACATAAAATAAATATATGCTCAGCATACTAGAATTAGATGGGCAAGAAAAGAGTTAGACATTTTAAATATGAAATTTATGACTGATCTAGAAAAATGAGGAGTTGAAAAATTATTTTTAGACAGAGTGATTAACTTGTAGTGATTAAATGGTTAACGATGGTGAGATGTTCAGAATAAAGGCACTTCACACAACTGCAGCTAAAAATCTCTGCTGACATAAATTGCCTTTGCTTCACTAAAGTCAATAACTTCCTCCATTGAAAATCTGTACTGCAATGCAGACATTTCTGATTTGCTTTGTAAAGAGATCTGCTAAGGCCTGGACACTTGCAATGCCAACAAATACGGTAATTCAGTTAACAATTTTTCTGAGGAAAGTATTAGAACAAGGCCAGACTGCACGTCTGCCTCTCGTCTCCTAGACAAGTATCAGGAAGATAAATAGGATGAGACATCTATGAGAGTAGAGCAGGTTGGCAGAGAGCTTGCCTGAGTGCCAGGCTTTGGCTGTTATACTTGGGATGAGCCAATAGCCAGGAAAAACATACGAATATGAACTTCTACTGGCTGCATTGGTGATATCCTTCTTGCACAGGCCGTGTGTTTTGCAGTCTTAAGTGTCCCCGCTAGCACCATGGCCATGCCACCAGCTCAGACAAAACATCCTTCTGTTTAAAGGGAAGACCCCCGTGCTTTTTGAAATCTCTCCCTGAAATGTTGCAGGTCAGGACTGGCACTGCGGTGACGATGTCTATACGGCCGCTACCAAGTGTTGGAACTAACCTGGAAATCTCAGCTTGTGTAGGTTTTTCCACCTTCACAATCTGTCATGAGATGAGTTATGGAAATAGGATTTCCCCTCCAACCTTACATAGTTCTGAGTCGTACTGTATGAAGCCACAGTCCCACAGAGCTGTGAGATAAGTACTACAGCATGGCCCAGCCTCTTCTCCACGCTGGAATTTCTAAAGACCTTTAAGGAAAGAGGCATAGATCTTGGCAGAGCTAATCCTGGCTTTCTCTAAATTTTAATTCAGATCAAAAATAAGCCTGGAGCTCCCAGGGATGCTTTTAGGTGAGATCAGATGTGGCCTCTAAAGAGGCTTTTGACTCTATTTAAGCAGAGCTAGAATAGTTCTTTGAATTGTGTTGTCTTTTGGTAGACATGTATAGTGTTTGCTCTACTTGGTAAGAAGAGGACAGCAAAATTAGTTTGTGGTGTTTTGAAGAGCCATCAGTTTGGCAGTTTCCAATCAATTTAGAACTATTTTGTAGACTCCCTTTCATTGAGCCTATACCTCTATAAATGATCCTTACCCTGGCTGTGCTGCGAAGGCAGCAGCTTCAAAGATTCATCTTCATCTTGGTTTCATATCTAGAGGATGTAACTAGAAACATGTGCTTGCTCTCTGCTGTAATTATTTTTATTTGCCATAGGGAATCTTCAATTCCTTCCTTTCTGAATGGTTCCTCAGCCTTTTAGTTTTGCTAATGCTTTCAAACAAAAATAATGAATGGTGGCAGTGTGTGTCCTAGTTATTCTGATAATTTGCACTCCCTGGCAAGCTTTAAATCAGGAGGACACAACCACTATCATCTGATTTAAAGTGACCTAATGATTTTTATTTAAAATAAGGAATCAGAGAGAGAAATAACACTGTCAGGCACATAGTCCATCTACCTGCCCATGCAAAGATTTTTCTATAAAGTGCTTTTCTCATTATTTGTGTCAAGCTTAGCTTTTAATATCTAAAATGGAGATCTTTTTCAAAGAGGCTGTTCTACAACAGAACTCTCCATCCAGATTCTGCCTGAATTTTAGCTGAATTTTGGTTGTGTTATCCAACAACGAATATCAATGGTGGCAGGGTGGACAGCTTCTACACGGCCTTCTATCCAGGAATGGTGATAATTTTTAAAACAATGAATTGCGTCCCGGCTAAAATTCAGCACAATAATGTTTCTGTGCTACGGCGAGTTCTCCCCTGTTAAGCAGTTGGTTCTTTCTTCGCTTGTGGGAGTTACCGTAGTCTTATGTGGGTTTGCTGTTCAGTAACTCTTAGCGGCTGCAATCAGATGTAATGATGATTAGTACCGAAAAATACAAAGGCAGAAGAATAGATTTTTCTGCAAGGGCTGCTTTTTATTTAGCCCGATGAAGGGCTATTGCATATCTTGGTTGGCTTCCAGTCTAGCCATTTATTTTGTACCATCTTGTTACCATTTGACTCTAGCTATACAGGCTTAGCATTGGGGAAGCTAATGATGAAACCACATATCTATTAACTGTAAACTATACCTTTATTTATTTATTTATCTCATTTTAGATGCTATTACTGGCTCAACTAGCCAGAATGATTTTTCTTTTAATGAGGGTTTGGCCTGTTTCTTCCCTTTCAGGTCCATTTTAAGTGCTGTACACACATGGCTCGCTCACATCTATATTTTTTGTCATCTGAGCTGTCTTCATAGTTGCACAGTGAAACGCACTATTGCAAGGATCCAGACATTTGATATCCAAAAAAAAAGCACGAGCCAAGCAACACTGAAACCTCTCCTGTTGCATTGCTTGTGGCAATGCTCCAGCTCCTGTTGCAATGTTCTGACTGGCATGTTTGCAACTCTAACTATGAAAAGGGGAAGGGAAGCTTTGTAAGATGGTCTGACCTATGTCACAGTAGGGTCGATGTACTGCTGTGTATCACTAGTCCTGCAATACTGCAGGACTGGAGGGTTGGACATTGCCCTATGCTTAATGATTCTCTACTTAATGGTATATTGCATGGATGAGGTCCAACATGTTGAGCAGGAAATAGCCCCAAGAAGCACGCCTTAAGAATAAAGCATGAAGAAGGGTCAGCCCAGAGAAAAATAGAGCAAAATTGCCCAATTGCCCTCTTAGTGCAATTGGCACCCTCTTGTCTGGTATTTTCCCACCTCCCAGGATAATGGTAACAACATGATTTATTGGTTACATTTCCCTTGCTGTTGTTTTCAGCTTCTGCAGTGGCATGGGAATTACACTAACACCTCTGCAAGTTTCTGATTTCATTACTAGAACAGCCCACAAAATTGGACTACAATCCTGCCTTTCTCGCTGCCTTCCTATAATGAGTTTCTTCTGCTCATTTCTAGCTATAACAAAGGCTTGAATCCCATGTTATTAAGATTTTTGTTTTAAACAAACTCCTTTTTAGGGTGGAGTTTTTCTGGCTTGGGTTAGTAGAGCAGGGTGATATTTAGTCACTCCGGTTTAACCATTACAGTCTTGCCGGACTGGGCTGTTTCCAACCTGTGGTTACTGATGCAATCCTGATGCTTGGGCGCTGATTTTACTCCAGAGTGATCTTTTGTAATACTGGAGCTTAAGCAATGCTTAAGTCACAGTTTTCTGTGACTGGGAATACATCAGTGTGTCAAGGTGAAGTCAGTGCGTGCTGGCCAGAGGGAAAGGCATGTCTTACACATGCAGATGAACTCTGAAAGTGTCCCTGCCGAGGCCAATCCACAGCTCAGGCATCTTCTGCTTCTCCAGCTCCTCTCAAAGCTCTCAGTGCAGGAGACACCAGCCTGCCTGCAGTCACTGAGTCACTTTAAAAGCACTTTTTATTAGATTCAGCCAAATACCAGAGTGTGACCCACGCTTTATTTGAATTCCTGAGTTAAATAACCAGCCAAGAAACCCCACAGAGACTGAGAGAGGCTAAAGTTAAAAAGTGGTAAAGAAAATCCTTTCAGGTAGTTTGTGGGCTTTGTCTGATTGTGATTAGATGTAATAACAGGATTTTTATCTTCTGAGTAATAGTTTTGTGCAAAGTCACTGATTTCAGTGTAACTGCAAACATTATAGACTTCAGCTATTCACAAGGGGTAGCTACGGGTACAGATTTAGCTCTGCACGTGGAAAACTTAACGAAAAGTGGCCTCCTTTTCAGAGGGGTTGTTCACTTGTAAGTTCCCACAAAATTCAACACTGCCAGAAAAGGGAAATCTGGGTCTGGGTCCCAGGTATAGACTGCCCAATTCAATGCCACTGGAACAAAGGGGTACTGCCCAAATAAACCACTCGATTTTTAAACAGATTTTGAAAGTTAACAATTCAGTGACCCCTACTGTTCAAGTACTGTTAGTGGTAGGTAAGAATTAAATTAAAATACTTTCTAATCATTATTCTGCTATTTAATTTTTGTCCTCTGACTTCTTACATTCTTTTTTTTTTAAACAAAACAAAAGAAAACAAAAAACCTGAGGCTACATTTCTGGAGCAGATACATATTTCATATTTAACAAAACAACATGAGCCTGATGGTGATAGTTTGCTGCTTAGCCTCCACTAATCACATTTCTTTAAGCAATCTCTTCCTAAGCAAGCAAAAATGCACTCTTAACCCATCACATTTTGTTTCTCAGGATTCATTTCAGTCATAAGAGTTTTAGCTTCAAATTTGGTAATAAAGAAGGCCGAAGATTTGTGGAGTAAATCACTCATTCTGTATTTTCTTGGTCTTGCCTTTATTAATTCTACAAGCTTTAATTGTAAGCTATATCTACCTAAAGCTGTTTGTGTTGTAAGTATCTTAATCATTCAAATAGTCCTTGTGAGATGGAGTAGTAATATTTTATGATGTGGAAAAAAACTGATATCTCGAGATTAAATATTTGAATATTACATGAATGCCAGGAATTGCTTTTAAAAACCTGCTCTTTAACAGGGCCTCAGCATGGCTGTGGTGGTTACTTGACAAATTCAGCTTATAGCTTTGGCTCTCCACTCTCCATGGATGGAAGATATGCGAAAAATCTGGAATGTGTATGGATCATAACTGCACCTGAAAATAAACGGATCCACTTCACCTTCACTTCATTTGCCCTCGAAGGACAGTCTGCGCGAACTTGCCGATATGATTATGTCAAAGTAAGATACTTATGTATCTTAACAAGAACGTATCAATGAAAATATTACCCTGAGGTTAAAACTTAATTAATAGGAAATGGCTTTATGAAGAAATTCAGTTAATATAATTATGATTTCTCAGTGGGTTAGATTGCTACCACAGATGAAATCCTGCCTTTCTGGAAGCCAATGAGAGTTTTGACATTGACTGTTATGGGGACAAGCTTTTGTCCTCCGACCACCTATATAAACGAGTTTGTAATCCACAGAATATAAACAACCCAGAAGTGAGCATGAAGATTTCATTATCATACCAAATTGCTTGAAAACACTTTCATTTTTTAAACTTTGAATAAGTAAATCTTGATGCTAAATGCTCACCTCTGAAAGCCATCCCAGTGATAAGTACATAAAAATTAGGATACATAGTACAGCGCTCCCAAAAAAGGTCCACAAAGACCTTAACCATCCAGAAGATGGCTAGGGAGGCAGCTGAGCATTAGAGATGCTCAATGCAAATGGCAATGAATTCTACATTTCGATTAATACAACCTATCTCATTGAAAAATGTTTGAGTTTCCACATAAAAAATAAAAGAAAGCAGAACCACCAATCAGAATAATTTTTTGACTGATTTGCCAAAATGAGACCAGAATGTCCCATAATGGGATTTACACCATCCACCCTAATTAGTTAATTTGATGGTGGAGAATTGTAGCCAGCAACAACATCCAGTTAAAGCACAAAAGCACCTTCTGTGCTTTCAAGTGAGAGAAATTGTAATGTCTGGGAAGAGTCAGAGAACTTGATTTCTATTTATTTGTTTGTTGTGCCAAAAATATTAGTGTTTTAAATGCTTTTCTTTTTTCAGCTATATGATGGAGATAATGAAAATGCCAATTTGGTTGGCACGTACTGTGGATCTATGATGCCAGCTCCTTTTCTGTCTTCCAGTAATTTCTTGACTGTGAAATTTATCACAGATAATTCTGTGGAAAGAGAGGGTTTCAATGCTACTTACACCACAGTGGATCGTAAGTATATATAGATTCATGTTTATGTATTATGTGTGTATGTATTACATAGATATGTAATGTATATTTTTGTGACTCCTATGGAGAAATAAACACCTAAACACAAATCATCAAAACTCATTATAGGCAGAAGGTGCAGGGAGGGGAGAAGAGAGTCCTCAGCGTAGCTCTGCAGAGCATCCAACATAAGCAAGCTCAGGGCAGCACTGCTGGACACCCTTTGGTGCCTCCTCTAGCAGCAGGGGCCTGGCAGACCATAATGTAACATAGTCTCACACTGTGAAGGGGTGTCCCGATGTTACAGAGGGCATTTATCTGCGTTTTGAGACATACACAGACATGGCATTTGAATGTTTTCTACTTACCATTTTCTCTACAGAGCTACAGGTAAGTGCAAAAGCACACTGTTCAGTGTATCTTTGTAGGTAAGCCCTTTTCCCCAGTTGGTAATGTTGATGCATTTATTACTATTTTAAACAGGACTATGTGGAGGAACACATAATGCAACTTCTACTTCCCTGACTGCAACGTCACCTAACTTCCCAAATGCATATCCACCATTTACCCACTGTGTGTGGATCATTGATGCCCCTCCGCAGCAGCAGGTCAGATTGGTGGTGGAGACCTTCCACCTCCACGCCAACCAAGACTGTTCTCAGAACTACCTAGAGCTCCAAGCCTCACCAATGGTAGGAAACCTGCAGTTGATACTGTGCTCTATTCACAGCTACCCGCAACCAGCCCCCCTCACACTTTGCAAAGTGAGAAGGCCACTGCTTAGCAATTGATTCGTTGGTTATTCTAGATGAAGGGGTACATCCAAAGCATGATGAGGTAGCTGGTGCATTGACTTCATGGGAGCATACTATGCACATTGAATTCAGCTTGGTATTATACAAATTTCCACTGTTGCACCAAGCACTACAGATGCCAAACCTAACAGTCAGAAAGTACTGACCAATGACAGGTTCTCATAAACTGATGGTACTTGCTTCCACCCAAGAACTTTGATAAAAATGAATATTCATCCCAATAAGGGTTTCTGTAGAAGGCATCGGGGAAAAAAAGTCTGCATCCATTATATTACCTACTTTCATTGTTTCTTATCTTGCCATGAAAATACTGTTACATTTGACTTGTGTCTCATCATATTGACTGTAAGATGCTGAGACATTAGTAAGTGATTTCTGTGAGAACTTTAACATGTGACTGCATAACTGGTGTAAGTGCTGAAAGATCGGTTCACTGAAGCTGATAGGCAGAAAGCCATGTTAGATCACTAAATGAAATTGTGATATGTATTTATTTCCAGCGCAGCCAAGGATCTGTTCATAGATTCTGTGGCACTGAAACCTTTTCTGTCCCTGAGTTCTATTCGTATGACCGGACTGCCATTGTGACTTTCAAATCAGATGAATATATGATAAACAATGGAGTTAGATTTACCTATCAAGCTGCAGGTGAGCTTGGAGAAATGTCTAAAACATCTGTCAACCATTTCCTTTACAAGCTTCATATAGTAAAAAAAATACAGACCTCTGAAATCCTTATGTGTTTCTGTTTTTTGTTTTTATTTTTTTGTTTTGTTTTGTTTTCTTTAAGGTTGCAGCAGAGAGTATAACCAGTCATTTGGTTATCTGAAGAGCCCTGGCTGGCCTGGTCCTCACCCCAATAATATGGACTGTTCTATTGTTCTGCGAGCTCCAGTGAATCACACAATTTCTCTCTTTTTCCATGCTTTCAGTCTGCAGGACAGCATCCAATGCTCCCATGACTTCCTAGAGGTATCAAGCAAGTATATAGACTCTCTGGGTCTGAGTAAAAGCCTGATGAAGCCATAGGACATTAATAGGATTGTATCAAAGTTAAGGTGAATTGACATTAGGAACTAATTTATTGCTGCGGTTTTACACTGAAAGTGGTCAGGTACTATAAGAAGGGGATAAAGAATATGCAGGTCTAAAACAAATGAATATGTGGTTTTATTATCAGTTAACACATCTTCACTTAGGTCTTTTTGCTGTTATGCAGCTACAGAGCAAGTTGGGGATGCTTTTTATTTTGATGTTAACATCTGTGAATGAACAGTAAGCTATAAATTTCAGTATTTTTATTCCAGCAATAGAGTCTATATACTTGATGTTTTTTCCAAAAAAAAAAGGAAAAATGAGCAGATAGTTAAGCTGTAGTAACAAGTGCATGGTACAGGTACAAAGGCACCTGAAGTCAAGGAGAAGTGTAGACTCCTGCAGAATTCTTACTGTTTCTTTCATGGTTGTTGAAGATTTCCCTATTCTTTAATCAGATTACAAAAATCAGATGTCTGTGGCAGAGTAATTACTTCGCTGTCCTTTCTTATCCTTCTTACCATCTCAGGCAATGGATCTGATCATCATCATTATTACAGCTCAGAAAAAAAAATCAGATTAATTCTGAGCTATGTAATATGATCTGTCTCTTAATGTGACCAGGAAAGGAGCAGTCTGTAGAGCAAAATGTTAATTTTCTCATCTGGAATATTGACATTTCTCAAAGTAGAACATGGACTTACATTCAAAAGCACATCTTAACCACTGAGTAATCAAGTAATTTTTAATATCCAGGAGATGTACCACTGTTAAATTTAGCTACCATGATGATGGTAGTTCTGTGGGATTGCTTGCAAAGCTCCGAATAGTTACATCTCCTTTTCCTTCTACATAACAGGATCTAGTAGGAAAAATAAAACTATTAAGATGACAATTATAGCATGCAGGCAACTCCATGTACACTTTTTGTTGTGCTTTTATAACTGCACAATTGTACTGGTTGTATAATTTGTACAGGTATTTAATGCTGACAATGCTTCTTGTTATCCCTTGAAGGTCAGAAATGGGAGTGAAGTGCGATCACCACTACTCGGCAGGTTCTGTGGAAACACTGTGCCCAGTCCCATCTTCCCTAAAAATCATATTGTCTACCTTCGTTTCAAGAGTGATGCTTCAGTGGCTCATGATGGATATGAAATTACCTGGACTTCATCACCGAGTGGTATGGATATAATAACAAAGTAATTCCACCCATAAATTTTATATAGTTCTGAACAATTCTTCTTCTGGAAACGGTTTTTAACACAACATGCAGTTAAGCTGTAGAACTCCTGTCTATAGGATGTTACAAATCAGTCGAGGGGTAACTGAACAAATTCATGGAAGGCAAATATGATAAAAACTGTTAAAAACAAAGATGCCTTCTCTGGAAGCTGGAAAGTGCTGGAGACTGAAAGTAACCTGGGCAGGGATCTCCACATGCTTATTCTTACCCTATATACCTACCTTTCTGTCAATGCCTCTTCTGCCCACTGCTGGAGATTGAATTTTGGTGGAGATGGCCTGTGCTTTGACTTAGCATGGTTGTGTCTGTGCAGCTCTCTGCTCTTTTCTATTAGATGATGATTCTTCACTACTCATCTTTCCAAAACAGCCCAAGATAGTTTGTCTCTAACTGAGTAGCTGGGCACTCATCTGAGTGGTCTGACTTAAAAATTTGGATCCTGCTCCAAGGTGTTTCAGGACTTTTTCTTTTTTAATAGTCAGTGATGGTCTAATGTACACTGTATATTCCTCGGAGAGCATTAAAGCTGGAGCCTCAGCTTTGTCTCCTTTTGTCTCCTTTCATACATCCACCTTTGTTGTTCCAGCTCATGGTGTCACTCAGTGCTTTCCAGGGCAAATACTTATGCCATAGTGGGAGAGCCCCGCGTGCACCTCCTGAGCTAAGTAACAGTGTCCATTTCCAGGCTGTGGGGGAACGCTGTACGGCAGCACGGGCTCGTTCGCGAGTCCCAGCTACCCTGCCACGTACCAGAACAACACGGACTGTGCGTGGACCATCACTGTGCCCGCGGGACGAGCCGTCACGGTGAACTTTGACTTCATCAGCATCGATGACCCGGGGGACTGCAGCAGCAACTACCTGGTCCTTTACAGCGGGCCAGATGCCAGCCATCCGTCCATCGGGCCGTACTGTGGGATGGTAAGGATTGCCTGCGGTGTCCCTGCGTTCAAGATGGGCTTCTATGTATCGTGTTCCAGACTGTTTCCCCGGTCCTGACACGGGCTGCCCACAGGCGAGGAGAGGGGAAGGCTCCTGGGGCCCGTTAGCAGCGGCTCAACGCAGGCCTTGCAGTGACATCTAGCGGGGGAATTTTCTCCTGAATTTCCTTGCTTCGCTTGAAACACCTATGGGTGAAAGGCCACGACAATTACCTAGCACAGACCTGAGGTCCCTTCCAACCTGTGACCCTATCTGGACCTTAGTTTTTGTGCTGTATTTGGCTTTACCATAGGATCTTGGTGTTCTAAAAAGTTTTACACACTTGTTTTTTTGTATTTAATTTTAGGATACAAACATTGCACCTTTTACTGCTACATCTCACCAAGTCCATATAAAATTCCATGCTGAGTATGTGACTTTGCCGTCAGGATTCCAGTTAAGTTGGACAAGCTAGAACCCTGTTTATGAGAAGTATGTTCCTATTCCTTGCTGCACCGAAGAAACTGTACACATTAAATAACACTTGGAAATCTGATTATTATCATGCAACCAAAGTAAGGCCTTTAAAAATGCTTTAAGTACAGTTTTTATGAATTTAGAGTTGTGGCAAACAAATGTGATTTCCTGTTGTACTCAAAATAAACTATTATGTACTGTGAAACTGTGCTTGTGTTAATATTTGAAACATAGTGCTTTTTTCATAAGATAATGTTCTGCAGTGTCTATCCCTCCAAATTACAACAAAAAAAAATCACATTTTAAAAATCAAATCACCTTGAACTGATCACACCTTTTGAGGGAGGAATTATGCCTTGTTAGAACTGCACCATGTCCCTAGGAATGACAACTCCTCCAGCACACGTTGGACCTCAGCCTTGACAGGAGTAAAATTGACAAATACACTTAATAAAAATGTGTGTGTGTGGTTTTAACGGATGAAGTTTGTTAGTGGCTCCTTGATTTAGACTGATATGAGTGATACACTTTATTGACACAAAGTGTAGCTTCCTGAAGACTGAAATATTAGCCTACCCGAGGCTCGCCCAGCTCTGACCTTGCGAAGAGTATTTAGGTACCATCCGGCAACCTGTCATGTACAGGAGGCACATTTTTGTAATACGACCTTTAGCCTTAGGCTGTACAGGGAATCTGCTGTTGAACTCACTAGTTTTTACTGAAATCTGAATTTCAAAGAGGTTGATTTCACTGAGAGGAAAATCATGATTCTTCCTGGAACAGATTAATTGTTTTCTGGCAGTTTTTTGATGCAGATAAACTCCTGGACTGGACTTTGGGGGCAAAAAATCCAGCACTAACTAGTGGTTGGTGTACCTTTAAAGGTTACAAATGCTCTGGTAAATGGTACAAACACAAAAAAATACAGATTTTAAGTGAGTAAAATGCATGAGTTGATTTAGAAAAAATGAAAGCCCAGCAGAGGATTTATGCTCATGAGGACTGTTGAATGAAGCTGTTGGTACAAGGTCCAATTGATCTAATCCAACTGACTCTTGCCAAAAATAGTCAAAGTCTAAAATTAGAGTAAATTATCAATCCCATTCTTTAAAAAAACAGGAACAAGGTAAGACACTGTTGTCCTCTAACATTTAATGTGCGGAGCCGTGGCAGAAACGCCGCTGCAGAAGTGTTAAAGGGGACGCCCTTGAAGGAGGGAGCTGTTCCTGAGCCATGTTTCTGTCGTGCAAGGTAAGGTGTGATTTAAAACACATTTTAGCTTGCTTTAAAATGACTGTGCGGCAAAATAAAACAGATCAATTAAACAAACAGGCAACTTTAAAAAATGTTTCGAGAAACTGCTAAGTTATTTGTAGCGTACAGTACAATCCAATTAAGGATACAGAATATTTGTTTAGAAGATTCATGGTTTTATTTGGCAGCACCAATTGAATACTTCTGTTTTTATGCTTGTGCATGTTATTGCTTTAGAAATAATGTGGTAGCTCTGAATATCACAGATCTGCGTTGTATTATCTACATGAGTACAAAAATCCTCCCTGTAAATGACAAAGCACAGATTATGAATACGCATGTTTTTCACTTTCCAGGGCCTGCACCTTTTTAACTTCCATGCAAATCTGTTTGTGCATGTTCCTAAATACACTGTTTTATTCTTTATTTATATTCTTTATTTTTTATTCATATTTACTTTAGGAAATGTTTATAAGCAGCAACCACTTCAAAGACTAGGATTTGAAAAATAAGCATTAAAAGATCTACAATGTTATTTTTGAAAAGTATTTCCTGCGTGATAGGATTCTATAGTAAAATGAGCAGAATAACAGAAGAATGGGATTATATCTATAGCTATTTGAACTAAAGAGAGGAGAAGCATGCAGTTAATTTGCTAAAAAATGTACTGTGGGTGAATCCTGTGGGTGAACATTACCCAATAGTAGTTAAATTTACAAAGTAAGTTTGGCTGAAAAACAGTTAGCAATAGATTGATAAAGCAAAGGAGGGTTTCTGAGCTTCCCACAGTTACTTAAGACAAGTGTCCTAGGCATCAGAATGAATTATTTAGTGTAATTATTTGTCAGCTGCTAATCCAAAACCACAGAATTACCCTGCAGTCCCGATTAAAATCAAGATTAATGAAAATGCATAGCATGGACTACTCTTCATAGTAACAACAATAACAACAATAAAGGGTTACTAACAAATACATGTTTAAAATGTTTGGTATCTGACAATATAGTATAGGCCATAGTCTAGTAGAAGTCTGTTAATCTCAGACCTAGCTGCCTGGGCCTTTCCTCACGGTGGAGCTTGGAGCAGGCTGTGAGGAACAAGTGCTGAGAGTTGCTTTTCTCTCCTCTTAACTGCATGTTGGCAGTGGCAGGTCTGAGCAGGGACGTCGTATGGTAGTATGTAGACCCTGGTATGTAGACCCTGGCAGGTCTATCATACTACCATGAACTCAATGAACCTGTGAGGTTCATGGAAATAGCTCATGGAAAATCTTGCTTCTGTGGGAAGGAGAAAGATAAGGCTTTAATTAGAACAGCAAGTTAGGTAGCAAAAAGCATTATGCTGCAAACAGAAATGTAGGATCTGCTAAAAGGCACCTCCACCTAGAGCTGTGCCCTCACTAGCGGATGGAAGTGCAAAGTGGGTGGATGGCACCTAGGGGTCACAGACCCATGCGCTGTCACCAAACACAGAGAGAAGCTAAAAAGTGTGAGTGAGGCAGGCACCAAAATGTTAAGAGTTGCTGAAGCACAGTGACAAGCTAAGAATCTCTGCTGCTACCTTAAATTCCGTATATTTAACCTGGTTTCCTAAGAGCAGAAGGCATGTCTGTCTATGTGCATCTTTCTCCCCAAAGAATTCATACACTTGCTTTACTACCACTTAAAGCCTGTATCAAATTTGGAACAGATCTGGCAGTCTTCAAAGATATTTTCTAGTTATTTCATAAACCCCAAAATAGCAGCTGCATAGTAAAGAGAGACCTAAATTAGTGGCATTCTAGGAAAGGCTTTACTGTTAGCTCAACCACCATGTACTTGGTTATGTCTTTGGCTGGCTGCTGACTTAGCAGCCTGTCAGAACAGGCAGCATGTAGCTAGGGGGTAAAAAAGGGAGCTGACAATATTTGGGGTTAATGGGGTTCAGAGAGAAATGAAGGTACTGGGAAAAGGTGGGGGATAAATGAGGGGAGAGAGTGTTAATGCACTGCCATAGTTTTCATAAGTACTAATGCAAGAATTGAAGACTAAATTTTCAAGATCAGTGAATGACCTGATACTTGGATAGTGAGTCATACATACTTATTTTCCTGCTCATTCTCATATCTCCGTATCTCCAAATGATATTCAGTGCTTCATGAGGAGCTGAACACCTTTGAAAAGAACAGACAGGATTCTCTCTTTGACAAATCCAATATAGGCCTCACTAATCTACTGATTGGCGTATGAACTAATATGGAGGATTCATACAACTAATATGAACCCTTCCCTCATATAAAGGGTTTGCTAAAGCATTAACCGAAGTAGAAGGTGTGATTGATAGATGAACTGCTTACACAATAATATGATAATAAGATTAAGCAGATAGTAAAAAATGCACTTTTGTCAAAAGCAAGTAAAGGGAGTATGTTCGTTAAGTAAGGTGTGATTAAGTGCCTGTGGCAGAGGTAGCATGTGGATAAATAGAGCAAATACAGACTTCATATTTGCCCTAGAGACATATTTTTGTGGCAGCATCTTTTCACAGGCATGTGTGCTTTATCTGCTTGTTGGAACAATTATAGGCATTAAATCTTGGTACAGCCTTCCTCGCTACCAGACGAAGCCGGTGATTGTTCTTTATGAAGCAAGGCTAGTGGCTCTGCTGGCAGCTTGGAATCATAGCTCAGACAACGTCCAAACACCCAGGGCTAACAAGTGGCTGGTGGCAATCAGGGCACTTTCTTAGACAGGAAGGCAATGCAGGTTCACATCCCTGCCACTAAAAAGGAACTGTTTATCATTGGCTTATAAATCTGAGGGAATGCTTGTACCCCTGAGCAATCTGAATAAATAGAAGTTCTTCCGGCTGTGTCTTCCACTTGTGTGAATGCCATTCAAAGATAAATGTGCTAGTGCAGCCCAGAATTAAATCCTTACGTTACTAGAACAGCAAAAGCTAAGTCACACTCCCAGGAGTATTTCTGACCAGCGGCCACCTCTGAGGTTCCAGACTCCTCCCCGGGAGCGAGGAACTATTGCTTCTGCTAAGAACATGCTGTAGAGAAGTGTGTCCTAACACGTTCCTCCCCGCTGTCGCGTGGGGGAAATGGTGACACATCCGCAATCTATCTTCTAGGGTTTGCATTTGTAAAGTGCTTTCCCAGTGATGAAGGAATGAAAGCTAGCGTTAGTGCTGTACTTTAGAAAGACCAGATGTCTAAGCCCGTGATAGTTATTAGAGGCACCATACTACTATGCATATCCGAATAGGAAAGGATTGATCAGCCTCAGACATCAAGTTAATTAGAGGTCCTTCACTTTTCTAGATGTAAACCAGTGGGCTCGGTGGTTCAGCTTAGAAATAAGCCACCACCCGGGCTCAAACAGCTGTTGCCACCGGGACCCGTGGTAACCCCTTCCGCGCTCTCTGCCCATTCCGCTTTCTTCCCCTTCTCGTCCCATGCCCGCCCCACAGCGGCCGTTGGTCGCCGTTACTGCGCATGCGCCCAGGGCGCCCTCTGGTGCCCCGCGACCTAAAACCCCGCCGCCAGCGACGGGGCGCGCTCATTGGCGAGAGCACTTCTTCCTCTAGCCCGCCTCAGCCAATGGCCAGAGGGCGGGCATGCAGACCGCGCACTGATTGGTCGGGCAGAGTAGCACCTTGCCCAGCTGTGGGCGGAACCGCTGCTCCGAGGCGCTCGCCTTAGAAGGAGCGGGCAGGGCCCCCGCCTCCCCCGGGAGGGCGGTA